CATTTTGCAAAACAGCAGACGAGTGTGTATGCTAACCTGCAAGTCCTCCTATGCATATACCCTGATACAGCTTATCATTAGCTTGTGTCTATTTCCTAAAGCTCGGGTGTTTTTTTTTAAATTGGTATTATTTTTGCATAAGAAGAAACAGTGTATGTTAAGATAAATGCCATTGGAGGAAATAGACAAGGATAAACTCAAATATGATCACTTGTGAGCAGATTTCAATAAGCTTTTTACAATAAAAATAGCAAAACTAAAGAGGTTGGAATAAAAGTTCAAATAAAACCTTCTATTCTAATTTGAATCTCCTTAGAGTACAGGCAGATGCGTATAGGCCTAGAAACAGGAATAATCAGAGAGAAGCCAGGAACAGGACTTAAAGTCACCACTGTATGAGAATTTTAATGAGAACAAACTGTATACCTATTCCAAAAGTAGGACTCAGACTAGTTAGAAAAAGGAACTGTAAAGCTGAACTTATAATGATGCAGCTATGCAATGTGAGTTGTACAGACCAACTAGCAAATTGTACCACAAGAATGAGAAATAAAAAGGCTCAAGTTATATGCAGTTTCAACTTGGATAAAAACACATCAGGATACTCCATTGCTTTCACAAAAGAATGAAGTTCTAAGCTCAGTATTAGAGACATTCTGCCATTCTACATGGAATATCAAGTTCATTAATTTGCCCATGGAGTTTCATAAGCCAAAGGCTTTGCAAAGAAACTTGCAGGTGAGAAAATTATGTAGCAGGGTCTCCAAATCCTCTCCCAGCAAAGCAATGGACCCATGTCTGTAGGTTAAAAGGCACAGCTGCCTAGGTCATAGCATGAGACTGATATTTCCACTCAGATTTTAAAGAGAGAAACAACAAGAAAGATTTTGCCTCCAAAAAGCAGGGGAACAGAAAGTGATTCCTTAAGTGAGGGAAAACTGGTCCTATACCTGACAAAGAAGGATGCTGCTCCCTGACACAAAAAAATTTGGCGAGATTCCTCTATGATCACCTTTTATTTTACTGATCCTCAAGGAGAAGGCAGAGATTTACATCACAGTAGATGTGCCTATCCAGAGGGAAACACTACATATGCGCAGAGAGGAAAGAACAACAGTTTCTTGTCATCAATAAGATAGACATACATAGAAGCAAGCCTCTCTAACTACAAAAATAAGGGTAAGCAGATTTTTCTAAGCACAAGCAGTTAATTCTGCAAGAACCAGTTTCAAACCCTAAGTAGGAAGCTTTAGCTCTTTTACCAAGATAACTAGGAAAAAATAAGAAAAATATATATTTCTGATTTGTAAAAGGCGACTCCATAGGAAAAAAATACCAAAAAACTCAACCAGAGTAGATCAGAAAGCAACTAATCTTCAGCAAGTGCCTCAACAAGTTTTTATTGCAACTGCCAGGTAAAAGAAATCGCACAAAATGTCTTCATTCTGACTTGAAGAATAAATGTAGAAGAGATCAATTTCTCTTTTACATTCTGAGGTCAGTCTCTCTATTCAACGTGGTACTGTTCTAAAATACACTTAACTGGAAATAGACCAATTGCAAATTAATTCACATTGAAATATATCAGCAGCTTTAGAATATATGAGAAGAATCAAAATCATACGCAGTTCCACTGTCATATATATATAGACTTTTCCAGCACATGATGTTGTGAGAAACAGTAGCAGACTTGCATTTAATTTTTGTGTTTTACTGACCTCTAGTGGTTACGTATGTAATAATGAGAGCCTTAAAAACATCTCTTTTCCTTGGAGGGGGGGGAAAGGAGGAGGACAACTGTTAATTCTTTTGGCACAAAGCACATTCACTTTACTATGTGAAGTAAGGACGAGGCTTCTTTTCTTTCCTAAAATTATTCTACTTCTGCAGCTCATCATTGCTGCTATTTAACAAGCCATCTGAACAACAAAAACAAAAGATGAATGGTGCAATTTAACTTCAAAAATAGAGGAAATGTCCTCAAATAAATGCATAACTGGGTAAAAACCGGGAAATTAAGGGTAGATACGAAGAAACATTTTAACAGGAAACAGTCAGCATTGCTGTCCTGCACGAGTCTCTCTGAGGACACCTGCTGCTTCTAAAAGTACAAAAGAAATCACAAACAACTGGATGAGTGAATACTGAAGTAACAACACTATAAAGGGATTGTAATGCTGCAATAATAATGGAAAAGAAAACTTAGTAGACATAGCACAGCATGCATAGGGCAACAGTAATTCTGCATTTTCATGCAATTCTGAACTGACTTTTCATATTTGGGAACAGAAATACTTAGGCTGTAGGAAAGGGGCTCACAGAGATGAAGTCTGCTCAACAGCAGTCAAAAGAAGAAAAATTGTTAGCAGTTACCAGGAACAGAATGGGAAGTAAATAGAAAATCAGCTACCGTTAGATAGACCATTTATGTGTCTGCATCTTATTAGAGGAAGCAGTCTTGGTCCCCAGCCTTAAAAAGGTGAAACTGGGATCTGGAAAAAGTGTAAATTGGCAAGAAGGACCAACAGAATTTTAAGAGCTTCAGCATGAGGAGCTAATAACATTAGAACAATTCTATCTGGAATAGAGATGAGCAAAAAAAAAACCAAACATCAAGCCATAAGCATCCCATCATATGTCATAATTGCCACAGATAAGATGAACATGAAAGTTTGTGCTTCGTATGTAGTGTAAGAACCAATGGGTCTCAGAATGACCCTATCAAGGGCAAGTTCACACCAAGTGAATGCTACCTCACACAGCATATTGTTTAGCTGCGCAGTCTCTTCCCAATGGATGCCAGGGATGATAAAACCTTTAAAGGGCTTAGAGGACAAGTAGATAAATTCAAATACCTGGCTCAGGAAATCCTAGAGATGCCTATTGCTGGAGGCATAGAGCGGAAACAGGAGTACGTACCTGCATGACTCCTCTGTGCTTCTCCACATTTCCCACATTTGCCTCTGTACTACAGAAAAGCTAAATTAGCCCACTGGACCAAGACGATCACATCAACCTTAGCTCACTTCAGTAAAGGACTTTCTTATTGGGCTTACAGTTCAGGGATTGTATTTTACAGACTGAAGTCCTTAAGAACTGGATTACAAAATCATTTTAGATTATTATGTTCTGACAAGTCACAGCTTGCTCTTGACTTTTCCTAAATTACATCAGCCATCAAGAAACTTCAGCCAGAGCATCAGTCGGCTCATATAAGAGGATAAAATATACTATATTTTATTACAGTATACAATGTGGTTCAAAATTAGTTGGTTTTGCTTTTTCTTTTTTTAAGAAATAAGAAAATAATTTTAACTTTTAAAAAAGCATTACACCATATGCAATAGCTGACAGCTCCAAGGAATGATAAGCCAGCTATTCATCCAGTTCTAGCAGCTTGAGGGCAGGAATCAAGACTGTAGACCAGAAGTTACAACACTGAAGATATGAGAATGTTTTTTCCTAATTCTAGTCTTGTAGGCATTCTAAAATATTTTTACAGTGATAAATTGTTTTAAGAAGACTTGCAATAACTGCCACTACAGCAAGCACAGCAGTCACCTTTTGAACAACATTGTAACTCAAATCCATTATTTTCCTAATCAGAGCATATAAGTTAATTTTAATTCATATACGAATGGGGTCAAATAGATACTGAGAACTAATTTTTGTTTCTAGTCCCTCAGTGTTACTGGCAACACATTTAATTTGCTTTTTTTAAGCAGAGGCACATTTCTAAAAATGCTGAATTATATTTGGAAACGACTTTTATGTTGCTATAAAAGCAAAATAACCGTAGTTATTCTAGACAATGAAATTACAAGGTGCAATATTCAGTAAGAGGGGAAAAAAACAACAAAAACTAACACAATGGGACCTTAAAAAAGAAGAAAAAAAAGACTCCTTAAGTCTACTGCCAAAAAAGTTAACTATTAACCATTAACTGCATTTACTACATACCAGACCTGCAAAGTGTGAAAGCATATGACCTCACTGCTCTCTACAGCAAGCAAAGGATGGTGCTGGGCTTGTCATCTAGGTTTTTGAGAACAGGACACATGGGAACAGCATAGAGCTGGGCCAGAGGAGGGTCAGACTGGGCACTTAGGAAAATTTTCTGTTCCATGAGGATAGTAAAACACTGGAATAGACCCCAGAGAGGTGGCTGATGCTCTGTGCCTATGAGTGTTCAAAAGATACCTGGAAAATGCCCCCAGTACACGCCTTAGCTTTTGGTTAGCTCTGACATGGTCAGACAGATGGACTCAATGGTTTTTGAAGGAACTTTAACTGAACTACCACATTTTGTATTTGCAAAGTGGGACAAGTAGTTGGATTTCTCACATTCAAATACTGACTGTATTTCACAGAGCAAAAACAAGGTCAGCTTCACAGCTTAAACAGATACTGAAAAGCAGATACTGTTATGCTGTGCAGTGTGTATGTATCACATGTAAAAAAAAAAAAACAACAACCAGTAAGATCTGTTAATTATTCTTCAGTTTGAGTCAGCTGCTGAGAATACAAAATGAACAGAAAATTCAAAATTGTTTTCATCTCCATAGAAAATCACTTGACTTTTCATTATACACATTCTTTAAGAACTGAGAGAAATCTCAAATGAGTCCCAACTCCATTACTTCTTCTAGAGGGGAAAAAAAGATGTGTAAGAAGCAGCTGTACTATTGTTATAGTGACTGCGCTTCCACATAGCAAAACATGTCAACACTTTCTTTGTACATACACACACAGAACACAAGTACAACAGTGACTACTGGATATTCTGTAAAGGAGAAGAAAAAGAGGCTGCAATTTTTCATAGTCCAGCATTCCCAGAGTTTTCTAAATATCACAGCCACAGCTACACAGAATGAACAAGTAGGTTTATGTATTTAATTGAATTACTTCCCTTTTCACATATGGAGGAAACAAAGCAGTGAAAATCTGACATACAAGTATAAGCATTAATAATATTATTAAAAAATGAAATGGAAAGTCACCTCAGACACAGGTATGTTTTCTCCAAGCTCAGACGTGTGCAGTGCCAGCAAACCAATCACTCGAGCCACTTTAGCACGTCTGCATATGAAATACATTTTTTTCAGGTAAAGGAGAACTGTTTCCAAAACATGACAAAAACAATTTTTTCCAGCCTACATCTATTTTGTACAGATCACTAAGGGCAGGAACTATTTAAGTGCTATTTACAGGTGAATTTTGTCTTCTTTTATTTTTTTTTTTTTAATGCACTACTTAATTCTGTCTGTAGTTCAGCTTAATTAGCAATAAATTCATGCAATAAGATACATTTTTACCGTACAGCAACAAAAAATGGAGATTCTTTAGTTTATTACAGTCCTCACAATCCCCCATGCTCCCACTCAGTTTTCTTAAAATACTGAACCCCCCCCAACAGATCCTTATAAACATTTTAGTACAGCTGACAAAACAAAGAATTAAATGTATTGCAGCAAATCAGCTTTAAATGCTTCATTAAAGAAAAAATAAGCAGTAATATCAACACTTATTAAATGAGCAGCAGAGGGCACTACCAGCTTCAAATATTTCTAACATTTAAAAAAACTATCATTAGAAATATTTTCCGATCATTATGGAATGGCTTGGTTTATTCAGCAATTTAAATAATAATATTTGACACAGTAAGTCATACAGCTTTCAGGTAAAATTTTAGACATTTAATATAAGCTTAGATCTCACAAAAGTGCAGTATTTTAATACAATGCCAAAACAAACAAACAAACAGAAAAATAATGTTACTTACATCATGCTGCCAATCAAGTACCACAGTGGTTTGAAAGGCTAAAAAAAAACCTCCTCAAAAACTGTGAAGAAGTACATCCTAATAAAATTCAGTAATAGTAGCACATTTGAAGAAATTGATGTAACATAATTGTTACTTACATATCCCAGTTGGTGGCGGCACGCAGCTGCTGTATTAACACTGGGAACTATAATTTGAAGAAGATAAGCAAATATGAATGGTAGAGTGATCTGATGCATTCCAGTGATAAATATAAAAGAACAAAATACTTGTAATTATGTAAAATGTTTTTGGATGGCATTTGTAAAAGAAAAAAATAACAACCCAATATTAGCCAATGATAGGCAAACACTGCAGACATTGCCCAACGTATCCATTAAGAACAGAATTCCTGAATGTAAAAATGGCATTTTTCCCAACATTCTTCCCTTAAGCCAAAATGATAAACATATACCAGCTTATGAAAATGAGCATTATTTTCTATGTGAGTATCACCATACAATGGAAAAACTGATGCTTTCATTTTGAAAAATAGATTATCATACAGTATTATCAAATAATTACTTAAGAAGTGAAATAGTTGCCAAATGCTAAAATAATGAATTGAGAGTTAATGCACAATCAGCACTTATTTCTAAAATCTTCTGCTCATCAGCGATTCAGTTATTGGACTGTTGTAAAAATAATTAATAGTAATTCTCCAGTGATAATAGAATAATACTTAGAGCAATTCTCCATTAGGAAAACAGACATGGAATTCAATACGTTTTGGTTTGGTTTTTTTTTTTTTTTTTGGTTTATACCTCACTTGCCTTTTTTCTTCACTAGGGTGCAGTAGGGTTTTTTGTTGTCATTGTTTTGCTTTTTAAATATAACTAAATGCAGCCAATTTTTGCTACAATGCCAATGCTACATAAACCATATTGATTCCTTCAGAGCTTTATTATTTACCAGCCGAGAGTTAATTAGCCTGCTTGCAGCTTCCTTGTGGCCAGCCACAGTACAGAGGTAAGACAGTAAATTCAGTTTAGAACGTGCTGTTCCTGGATTCTTCTCAGCGGAATCAAGCAACAAACATGCTTGGTGCAAGAAGTCATTCCAGTCCACATCCTTCAGAGATGACAACTTCTCAGCTAGCACAAGAAGCAAACAAGTAGTTAAAGATCTTTTATGTTGTTTTAATACACTAGAAATAACATCAGCATGAATAAATAAGCTAGAAAATTTTAATCTAACTAGAATTCCAATATTTCACGCTGTTTCTCTACAGCAAAGTTGAGGTAAAAAATAATGACTGTCATCAAAATTCTCTCAGAAGCAATTGCAACAAGCCTAAAATACTGATTAATTTTCATATAGACAGGTACCCATCTGGTTAAACCTTAAGAGTAACTGAACACAGATGACTTCAAGAAGAATACAAGTCAACAGCCGCCAGGAGAACAAACGTAATCATCATCTCACTGATCACTGTATGGGAACTGAACTTCCCAAATACTTCCTTATCAGTCTCAAGGACTAAATTCAGTTCACCTTAGTAATCACAGTTTTGGTCAGTAACTTTCTAAAAACTTATCTGCCATCCTGGTGTGCTCCAATACAGAATATCTAAGGACATCCTTTCTGTCTATTTTATATGCAAGTAACACTGTCTAATGAACAGTTCACGTTAGCAAAGGTGAAAGGCAGTATGAATTTCAGGTATTCATCTTTTACTCCATATTTTTTTTTAATGGTAAGGAAAAAGTGTTGATAAGCAGCACCAAATTCATTATCTTAGAAAACAAATCAGAAAAAAAAAAGCTATAACCATAGAATATTTACAACCACAAAAAAAAAAAACCAAAAAAAAACACCTGTCCCTTATTAAATAAATATAGACAATAACAGCTAAACACATCAGAATATCTGCCTGATAGCTTGCATGCCTGAACACTAAATTAAATGAAACAGCACTTGCTCAGGTATTTGAACATGGCCATTCTTGCCAAATCCAGAATGTTTTTTGTTACTACAATCTTGTTTAGGGGACGTTCTATTCTTCTCCAGCTATCAAATTCCTTTAAAGTATGGAGAGTCAGTTTGTTAGGGAAAGAAAAAAAACAAGAAACTTTGTTTAGGTAGAGGTGCTATCTGAATTCTAGGAGTAACTACTTGCCTAACATTCCTCTTCAAGCACTCTAAAGCCAAACAATACTACCCAAAATATATCAGAGGAAATAGTTTCCATAAATAATAGACTTGTCTGAGGTTAAAAACACGACAAAACAAAAAAGTATCCACTAATCTACACTGTCCATTGGGAACATTTCACAATTACACACAAGACTGCCAGGCTATCAAGTATTATAGCTCATCAACACTACACTTTTCAACATCCTGTTTTCTTTTGCTTCCTTGTCAAATCTTAATCTGGTTGAATACCTCAGTATTTTACAAACAAACAAACTTCTGTTTTTCCATGCTAAAAAAAAGTTGGCTGTCTTATTTTTTAAAGCTTTTAAGTATGGCTTATCAAACGGCAGAAGAAAGGGTATATATATATATGTAGCTGTCAGCACTTGAAAATTCTACTCATTTTTGGTCTAGTTAAGAACATAACTTTTTCAACTTCAGGAAAACCAGATCTGAATTCTCCCCTCACTTCAGCTGATTTACAAATTTACAGATTTAAAGATTTACAATCTTGCAACAGTTACACTACCATATACAGAATGAACGTTTCTGTGTCAGCAGAGCCATACCTGAATACGCTGGTATATGTAAAGCTTTTGAGTCAAATCTAACTGGCACTTGCTTCATTATCTGGAGAAATAAACATCACAACTAGTTTTAATGTGTTACTGAAAGTTTTTCAGCAGTCAAACATGAAAACAAGGACACAAAAATAGGACAGGATGGCTGTACAAATCATGTGTACTCCTGAGGCATTTTTCAATACTGACAAGGAGCTTATAGGCAGGAGGAGGATTGACTTTTTACATATATAGCTAGTGGTAGGACAAGGGAGAATGGATTTAAGCTGAACAAAGGGAAATTTAGGTTAGATGTTAAGAAGAAACTCTTCAGAGTGTGGTGAGGCACTGGCACGGGCTGCCCAAAGAAGTTGTGGATGCCTCAGCCCTGAAGGATTTCAAGGCCAGGCTGGGTGGGTTCCTGGGCAGCGCGATCCAGTGCCTGGTAACTCTGCCCATGGCAGGGGGGTTGGGACTAGATGATCTGTGAGGCCCTGCCCAACACAAGCCATTCTGTGGTTCTTACAACTTCAGGCCTTCCTTTCCAGAGAAATTGAGTTTTTTAGATGCTTTTTAGAAATATTATATCTAAAACTCAGAGAATGACATAAATTGCACTGGAAGAGTTTAACACCTGAACTATGTGGCTTCATGGACAGCTTTGTTTTCTTTATACCAAAACACACTCAGCTTTGTTGTCATTTAAGTAATAGATATTAAAGCAAATTATCAGAAAACAGATCTACAAAACCACTGAACACAGCATTTAATAGCTTCTATTTATTCTATTTATTGTAAGACATTATTTGACATTACTTTAAAACCCCAAAATAACTCTATTCTCCAAATTAACAATACAATAGGACTGTAAAAGACAGCTAAAAACTTGCATGAGAGCTTGCCAGATGACTGGGTGGAACTGCTTTAAAATTTGAATTATAAAACACAGGAAATGAGTTTCACCCTGATTTAAAGATTTATCTGCAAAACTAGCCTCACCCACAAGTTCCTGAATCTTATAATTTATTTTGCTATACCTTTGGATTGTCAATGATTGGTGTTATGATAAGATCAGATTCAGTGTAAATGAGCTCTTTCAATGCTGACTCCATATCCTGCTGACTTGTGCACACATTTTTAGCCTGGAACAAGAACAAAGTTTTCTGAAATACCATTTTGCACAAAAGAAGAAAATTTATACTTACTCCCATAATGTTTCACTTTGTTTGGTCATGTAAATAATATATTCTAAATTGCTTTTAAATTGTGTAGTTATTGATAGAGCCTAGACCTTGCAATTAAAAATTATGAAAAACAAGTATGTAAATAGAAAGACAAAACTCTAAAAAACAAACCAACAAAAACTTGAACTTAAGTTCAAAATGTAGATGGATTTAAAAAAAAAAAAAAAAAAAAAAAGATAGTCCCTCTTTCTTTTATGCATTGAATTAAAGGGGGACAAAACATCTTATTTGACTCCCACACTGGAAGCTTTGCAAACATTTACTTTTACTTTTTTTTTTTTCCTTCAATATTTTTACACACTAAAGGAATTACTACTGGAGGAACTACTTTTCTGTTACAATTACAGATTGAGAAAGAAAAGTGTCTTTGATGTAGTCTCCATGCTAAGATCTTGACTATGATTATATCACTGCCTCTTAATATTAGTTTTTCTACTCACCCTTGTCATGCTTGAATCCTTTTGTGGAGAATTTTGGATTGGAGCAATACTAACATCAGTTACTTGTACTGCAGTGCTGGTTCTAGGAGTAGGACGAGAACTTCAAAAGAAACAGAATACAGATTAAGTCTCACTGCAGGCCACTGTTGTGGGGTTTTGTTTGTTGGTTTGGGGTTTTTATTTGTTTTCATAGAAATATTTTCATATTTTCAGAGGACTTTCAAGGGTTTTCTGACTGTTGTTTTGATTTTCATACCTCAGAAGAAATATGGATTCATTTGATTCACCATCTGCATTTTTGGGGCGCAATTCAGTCGGATTTTCTACTGAAAAAAGAACAAACTTGAATCTAAATGTTCAAATAAACAAAACACAAGGAAGAAGCATGTGGTGAGACCAACAAAATAATTCAAAATAACATAATGAATATTACCTATTTTGAAAGAATTGCTTGGTAGCTTATTATCTGCTCTTGAAGATGATAGGTTTTTGCAAGCATCGTCTGGCCCCTTGGTATTCCATGACTCCAAGTCTTCATTGCTGTTTAATAAGAAATATTAATTAAAAAGATTTAAAAGACATCAGATTGATCGTATCCATTACTTATTGCAACTATTAACATGCAATTTAGCTGTCATTCTCATAGATCATCCTCCTATTGCAATATGAGCTACAAATACTTTTTATATTGGTAATGGCAATGATGAAAAGTTGTTTTTGAGCAAGCAACTTGGAAAATATTAAAGAACTCTCTAGCTCCCTTAGTACAACTGGCAGTGAAGAAATTTGGAATAAATTTATACCCTGGAATACACAAGGGTAATTTTGTAAGTTTCAGAGATTGCTCAATCTTCAGAGAAAAAATTTACAACCAATTTACTTTCAATATCAAAGCCTGTATCAAGCATTAAGATCAATAAAGACTTTTTTTTTTTTCCTTAATAGCAAGTTTTTCACTTTTGCTTCTGTATTTCCCTGTACTGTTCACCTGGAACTGGTTCAAATAAACCTTGCCTGTGGAGCTCACACTTTGAAAGGAAGAAGTACAGATCTTCTTTTGCATGTCAGGACCATGTCCTTGGTTCTTCATGTGTGCCAATTACTGCCTTAGTGAAAATTTCAGAATCATTAGAAGACTCAAGTAAGTAAAGTCAAGAAGTCCAATATTTTGTGGGTAATTATTATTCTGATTCTCTGAGAAATTGCTCAGATATACAGTATGGTAAAGGTAGATCTAAGTCTCACTAATATTGTGAATAAATTCTGATTTTGAGATATAAACTCACAGTCTCGATTATTTGCCCTGGTGGTAAAAGTAGTAATAAAATTAAAAGACAAAGAGCAGCATATTAAACTAGAACAGACATTAGTAACAAAAAATACTGCAGCCCTGATTCCAGAAATAGGTATTTCAACAATGTGAGATAGAATGTAAAAATAGATAAAACACAGAAGCATGTGGCGTTCTAAAATAAAGCTATTTCCATACTCGTTCCCTGAATACAACCTGAAATAGCATTCAAATATTTAGAACAACAGATTGTTTAAAAACAAACAAACAACTCTAAATGGAAATTAAGAAATTAAAAACAGCAATATTAACAGACATCTGGAAGAAACCATTCTATTCAGTGAATAGAGCCTATCTTCACAAAAGGACTGGGTGTTTCTGCCTATATAGGAATGCAGAGTATTTAACATTTAAATATAAAAACATTAGATTAATGCTTTATGCTATAAACAAAGAATATGGGTCAACTACATTCACAAGGCTAACAAAACCTAAGATGATGTGCTGATAGGTTTTTTGATGACTTGATGTTAATGCACAAGAACAAACTTACATAAAGATGAAATTGACTCATGTATGAGGTGCTAATAATGCTTCTGAAGGACAGTACTGTAAGTCAAATTACTGTTCATCATTGTTATATAAACAAAAAAACAAATAGCATTCTGTAGCTAGAAGAAATGAGTCTACAGAAAGGAAACAGATACTCTTACACTGATAGAATACTGTAATTCCTAAGCACCCCAAACTGCTCACTGGATGGTATAAAACTTAACTCAGCAATTATTTAACAAAATTAAACTCCTAAGCAAAATTCAAAGACTGAAAAATTCACAGAAAAATATTTTAAATCTGTACTATTGATTTATTTATTTGTTCATATGTACCACAGAAAGACATCTGCTAAAACATGAAGTACCTTGAGCCCTGGCTGTCTGAAGAATCGCCGTCACAATGGCTAAGGGAGTCTTTCCAGAATGGATGTTGCAATATGTCTGTCCAGTTGAGCCTTTTGAGAAGCAATAGGCAAACTGAAAAAGCAGTGGCAAAGTACAGCTACAAAAGCTTATCAGGCTACGTTCTGAATCCAGTGGTGCTATGAAGCAACTATTACTGACTATTATTGTTCTTAGTTGGTATTTGGTGAACAAATAAGTTATCTTATAGAGGAAATGTTTTGCCTAAAATTGAAATGGATCATTCACACAACACAGAGAGGTGAGATTAAAGATTAAGTACACAGTTTAACCAGTCCCATTATTTACATTACTCTATAAATAATTATGTTATACAAAAATGTAAGTGTAACATCTATAAATTAAAGTCTTATAAAAGATATGCCCATTGCTCTGGAAAACTGAAGCCATCCAATTTGAAAAGCTAACATCCTGTTAAACAGTTACCTATTTAACACCACATACAAAAGAAGAAAACTATGCAGAATTAATATTTTGATTAAATAAAGTTTGCATGAGAAAATGCACTATGTCTTCTTTTACGAAGGAGAAAATTAATTACTTTTTCATTGTCACCAGATAGTATCATAGTTATTATTTTTTTCCAGATGTGAAAAAGGCAATGCAAACAACCAGTTTACCTCTTCTGAGGATCCTTTTGAAGCAATCCATCAAGTAAGCTAATGAACTCTGCAGAAGGTTTCTGAAAAGCAGAACCTGAAAATAGAAGGACTTAAAAAGATAAGAACTGGACAACAGAATCAACTGTGACAGTAAGTAAATCAAATCATTATCTGAATCAAAACATTAAAGCAGTTTTATTTAACACCAATTTCATCTTAAAAAAAATAATAATAATAATAATGCATAAAAAATACTAAATATAAAGTCTTGTATTAAAATGATCTTCAAAGAGATGATAAAAATCAATACTTGGTCAAGCTAATCCAGAACAATAATATACATTTATTATTATATTCCTATATATTCACAAATTCATATTTTTTTATATTTCATATAAAAATATGAACCTTCCCATTATCATATAACTATTAGATGAAAATAAAGTAGAGTTGAAAATTGTGCTAATTGAAATTTACCCTGGCTGTGGTAGTTTTAAGAGGACTATTATTGCATCCTATTACACAAGAGGTTTCCAGAATTCTCAGTTAACTGAGAAAGACTACTTCTGAGAGCTCAAAATCATGCAATACAATCCATCTATTTGCTTCAAAAATAAAGTTTCCCTTAAAATTGAAACAAGTAATAGTTGTAACTCAATAGGTCACGTTTCTGCTGTATCAGTATGAATTGAAATTAGAAACTAACGAGGTGTCTCCATGAATACCACCGATGCATTGAATGACAAAGTTCAAAAATTCCATCTCAGAATGTATTTTTAATCCTTAACACTAAATGATACACATGTTTTATCAACAGAGATATAAGCATTCATCACTAATGGAAGATGTTCATAGCAAAGGAACGGCAAAGGTAACATTCGCTTTGGACAGCAAAACAATTCCTGCAATCAGCCTCAGAATAAACACTGCAAAGCAAAACTTTGTTACTATTGATTCAATTTGACACATTTAACAAGAGAAGAACGTTACCCTTGGGCCTCAGTGGCAGTGGATCTTCATGTAAAATCTTTTCAATTAATTCTGAAAAGTTCTCTGAGAAGAATGGTGGTCTTCCTAAAATAAATGGAAGTTTATTTTTTCAGTTATGTAAATTTCAAAATGGCTGTCAGGTGCAATTATATACAATGAGCTCATTTTCCTAAGGAAATATTCAAAGCAATAAGCATCCTTGATTTGAATTTAAAGGTTCACTTAAAAATAAGTCCTTGGATTATATTCTACTGCGAACCGCCAAAGAGACCAAGGACAGAACATGTTCTAAAGACAGCTTGAGGTAGGCCATCATGAATGCTCTGAAAGAATCCATAATGACATAGCAGCTGGAGAAGGGAAGAGCAGAGTATGCCAATCCGACAGATCTGTGTATTGTCTAAGACTTCAGACTACTGCACTGTAATTCTTTTGCATTGAAAATTTCCTTCCAGCTGCAGGCAATGCTAACTTTATCTGCAGGAAAGCCAATGACTAGTTTTAAACTAGTTAAATTTTTCTCCCTTCGAAGTCAAATTAATGCATCCAGAGTTTAATACTGAGGAGATTAAGAACATTACGTTGTCCAAACAAGCACTGCTACATTTTCAAATCATAGTATTTGAGGGATTTGGGTTGGTTAATACCATTACACTTGGAATTCAGGTGGAAGTATAATTTAGCAGTATTACTTCAGCTGATTGCTTGACAAGTTGTTTTTCTTAAGCATATTTAATGTATTCTTCAAGAAATTTTTATTACCTCTCTTAAATATATCTTTCTCTCTTTTTACTTCCTTAAAAAATAAACAAGAATTTAAATTGGGATCACAAAGTAGGTTTTCGTTATCACAGATATCAAAGAAATACACAAACTTACAACCTGAGAACATTTCATAAAGTAAACATCCTAAGGACCACAGATCACTGGACTTGGAGAAATCTTCTCCCTTTATTACTTCTGGAGCTGTGTATAATGGAGAGCCTACAAAATACCATACAAATACACTCAATTGAACATCAGTCCTGTAGAACACCTGAAACTTAATCTCTAACTCACTGAAGCATAGGAATCCTCACTTAAAGGTATGAAACATGAGATACCAAATGGAATTTGAAAAGAATATTTTCCTCCTTTTTTTATTGAATTATGTAGGATTGCAGAAGCCATTTTCTTGTTAACTTCACTTCCATTTGCGCTTATACTTCTCTAACATGATTAATGCAAGTTGTTTTTTTTTTTTAATTTAATTTATCTTGACAGCCAAGCCAACTGAGTATGTTAAACCAATATAAATCTCATGTGATTAATAAAAATTATTAGGCTACATCAGGTTTTACATTTATTAAAAAGAGAGCTATCCTGAGACTTTAACTCACGTGAAATTAGAAAACTGTTACAATAAACAAGATCCATAAATTAGATCACTGATCTAGTTGTGCCTATCCTAAATACTACTAGTTTATCCAAAACCTCTCTAAAAATTACAAAATCTCAGCAAAAACGTAAATTCCATAATCCTTTAAGAAGCTTATTTTGGATTTTGCTATCCATTTTATTTATTTTAAGTGACAACAGGTTATTAAATATACATTTTACAAAAAAAGAAAGAAAAAAAAGAAAAAGCTGATTTAGATGGTAACAGGAAAGAGATTACATTTACATTTCTTTCTGGAAAAAAAAAAACACCACATCCTGTTCTTGGCCTTCATAATTGCAGTAGGTGCTAAAGTACTAAGAAAGCTCTTTGTTCCCATAACACATTGCCAAGATTTCCATTGTTCCAGATGACAGCAACTGCAATGATGCCTCATTATCAGAGAAACAGAGGTCTCTGAGATGCTCCAAGACACAAACTATTGAAAGATTCTGAAAAGTAAAGCCAAAATTCCAAAGCTTTCTTATTTGATGAAAATGTAGCACAGCAGTTGTAGCCCATTGGATTTGCATGGATTTTTCTGCTGAAATTGAAGCACACTAACAGCTTCTTCATGCTTCAAAAATAAACAATCTTTCTTATGTAAACGGTACTGAAACAACTAATCATCATTCTGGAAATTACACAGACCACTTGAAGCAAAAAGTATGGTGAAAATCTTGTGTCAAAAACCACAAAATCCATTCTCTAAACTATTGTTAAATGGATACAAAATATCTAATCAAAGTAGAAGCAATTCAGTATCATACTTACTGAACTGTGTATACATTTAATATAAATTTAATGGAAATTAGCCCTAGACCCTAGAGAGACCATCTGCAGCACATACTGTTTTTATATTTGATAAGTAGTAAAATTATAATTTTGTCAATTAGGAAAATCAGTTAAGATTCAGCATTTCTGAAGCTTCAGTGATTTTCTTATTTTTATAGTTCTACTACTTATACTTAATTGGTAATATGTGAAATGCATCAAGGACCAAAGGTATTTCACAGATTTTATTTTTTTTTCTTACATCCACATCAGTTATCATTAAAAAGCTAATTACTTAAGCCCCCTTAGCAAACCCAAATGAAGAATTAGCATTTTCAATTCACTAACCACTTTGAGCAGTTTCAGATCACATCCATATATGATATTTGCTCAGGATAGAAAGGCAGTTTGTGCATTAGATAGTATGAAATGCCAACTGCAAAAAGCAATTCAAAATAATCCAGTTATGTGGAAATCTTACATACTACAGTATTTTTATAATTGCCTACATATAAGTTTCAAATCAAAAATAACATGAAGTCTATTTAGAATAAGACAGAAAGGTAAGCAACTGTTAATCTATCAAAAATTCCATGACAAAAGTACATTTTTCCAGTGCTTATACTGTCATAGAATCATGACTATATATTCCTAAACAGTTTCTATTCTTCTTCCTCACTTGCAGGTGTTGTTCCCTCTGTATCTTACAATCCATCTTAACAATTTTCCTTAACAGCAAAATTTTCGTTCTGAGCCTACCTGGGAAAAAGAAAATTCCCTACATGGAGAATACGCAAAATCTACTCAAAGAAAACTTGCATATCACACAAAGAGGCCATTATTTACAGATGCTGACATAGCAGAATTATTCTGTTTCTCTAAGAATTTAGTAAGCCACATCAGAATTTTGATCAACTGCCTTCTTCGAGTCTTCTCTCAAAAATCATGCATAACAACAGTCTTTTCCCACTTTCATTCTGTCCGTTTAGCTTAATTTTAGCTGGTAAAAATATCCTACCTCGAAGTCTGTTTTTCAGGTGTCTTTGTGCAGTGCTTTCAACAACATCTCTTCCTGTTTCTTCAGACCCAACTAAAGCAAAAAATTCCTCCAAGTTTTCTCCATCTGCTTTAGCCAAGCAAAAGTTACTGAACTTCAAAGTGCCAGGCCCTTCCAGCAGAATCTAGAGGAATAAACATAATCCAGCATAGCAGATATTAACACCAGTGACTGCATTAATTTCCAGTACAAACTATATTAAATCACAATAATTTAATCATTTAAGTAAATAGAGATGATCACTATTATATCTAAAAGCACTGAGAAGTTTAAGTCAAAACAAATCACGTTTTTTCTCATAACCAAAAAAAAAAAATCACGTAAGGTCACAACACAACATTAATGGTTTCATTCACATTTTTGTTGGCTCATCATTACGCTGATACAAATGATGATGGATGATGCTACTGTAGAAAAGAAAGTAAAAATGTGTTTAAAGTAAAAGGATAGTAAAAGGAACATTCATTCATTTTAGGCAAACAAAAGTGATTTTTTTTTTTTTTTTAATTTTATGCTGGACAAAAAGCTTCATGATTTTGATAATGATAAGTTCTTCCTATGTAGTCAGTGATTTCCTAATTACAATCTTTATAATCCCCGCAAAACTGTCTGGAAAAAAAATCACTCATTTGGTTAGATATGGGCTGGGGGGGGGGGGGGCTGGGAGAGGGGCAGGGGAGGATCTTACTTTTTCACTCTGTATTCTGTGTTCAAAAGAGTACTTTACAGTCTTTACTTTTTTTTTTTTTTTAACACATTCTTCTTCAGAAAAATACAGAGGCATTTCCATTATGCTTTACTTATATATTCACTTCTATTTATTGCTCTTTTACCCACAAATAACAGAAACCAAGCATGAATGCACAAGTCCTACAGAAAACTCAGGCAACTCGACCTCTTACAAATCAAGATCAACAATAGAATTACTGTTAAGCAACTGGCTTCCAGTATTAGGTAATTCTCTCAAAAACAGTATAATATGAATAAAATGTTGATTGCATACAAAGTAATACGTGATATCCATTATAAGTAATACTTCTTGTTACCTTTCCAGGTGTCAGCTCACAAAAGATAATCCCAAGGTTATGAATGTGGTGTAAACCGGTAATCAAATCTACACCAAATTCTCTCACTACATCTTCAGGTAGATGTTCATCTTGAGCAATAACTGATTCTAGTGAACCACCTGAAATATGTGTACATGTGGTCAGCAAAGGAATTACTTGCATGGCATTTGCTTTACATGCACAATGACATGACGAAAGTCTTCCAAAACTATCAAGTAAAAAATCATTACTCATACACATTAAAAATATGAAAATGTATAGAAAAAAAATCTGAGATTGTGATATAAACTTTCACTACAATTAAATTGAGGGCATGACTTTTAAAAACACTTTCATATTGATTTATTTTACAAAGGAAGCAGAAAGGAAAACATGAAACTCATACTGTCACAACGCAATAGCAACCCAGTGGGTTTATTCAGATCCTTCCGCATGAGACGAAGCAGTACCAAGATCAGGCTATCAATGTCTGTGAACAAGCAGCACAACTAATGATGTGGAATTTCCCACTGAATTCACAGACAATAAAAATAGTAAAATCCCAGGATCCCAGGGTCCATGGAAAAGGATAATAAATATTTTATTTCAAACTACATAATATTTTCCTGAGCTTTTCTTTTCCCCTTTGCTTACTGATTGACTTCAGAGAATACTGAGATGTTCAGGTTCATCACTATTCTCCAAATTACTCAATGATGTTGAATCTTACAGTTGCTCTCAGTCTTTACGTTGCTTATAAAAAACAGTCTTACCTTTAGAACCAGCCTCAGAATATATGACTTAGTAAAGAATTTTCCAACATTTTAACACTTTTATAATGTATTTTAGATGGCTATACAGATATACCAGGAAAAATTTATAATGAAAAGTGTTGCTCTACAAAATTAGTATGAAATTCAACTCTCATCCTATTCACAAGTACATTTGCTGCTAAGAATGCCTTGAAACTAACTGCTGTGAACACAGCATTTCCAAGTGCACAATGGCACAAGTACAATTTGAGGCAGGTCAGACAGAAGCTTTATTAACTATGACCACAGTGAGAGAACATTCAGGCAGCTTTTTATCCCTCTACTGTCCTGCTTTATGCCAAGTGATTGCAGAGACCCAACTCCTATGGTGTTTCAAAGAAAAGAGAAGTGAGGAAAAGGTCACATAGTTGTTAAAAAAGCCAGGCATCCACCCTTGGGAGAGATGAACTCCACTCAACCATTCACAGGCAAACAAGTACAAGTACCCATGTCTGGGAGAGAGGGACTCCATAAGTTGCTTGCTAACTGCCATTGTTTACACTGTGGAGAGATGGCTCTTGGATGGCCTGTAGCAGTAGGACATCCAGTGTTATCCTGGGTCAGAACTGGGGATTCTGACAATTCTTCACAATCCCAGATTGCTAGCTTTTATTTGAAATTAATGTATTTTTAGTTAGGATAAACTTCTTAGTCAGTCCACTCTCGGGTCTCTAAGAACTTTATTCCCATGCTGCAATATTGCAAGATACACAAAAAATTGCTTTAACTGTTCTTAACAATAGGCTGCCTGCCTAATAAATTACATACATGTCAATTTGTTAGACTAGGCAAATAGACAAGGCCTAACTTTAATTCTAATAATTAAAGAAAGAATGACCAGATTATTTTTCAGGTCTTATAGCTTCTCCAATAATTCTAAGTAGGAAAAAAAAAAAAAAAGAAAAAAAAAAAAAAGCAATTTGTAATATTGGCTCTTACTATGAAACAACTCTATGTATCAAAACACTAAAATGCCTCACTTGCACAATCACCTTCAATCACCTTTCCTTTCCACATGGAGGAAAGCATGCTTACTATCATCTGCTTAAAACATACAGTCATAATTGGATAAAGCATTAAAAGACTTCTTTAGAAGATTGATGTTAATCTACCAAAACTCCATTAATTACTTAATACAGTTTTGGGTTCTCAGTGTTCCCAAATTAATGTCTTAACATAAATCTTTGCTTAAAAAAATTTTAGATAACTACACTCCAATTACTCACAATTTGTTTTTAAGCTCCCCTAGCTATGAGAAGCTAACATTATGTCACCTAAATTAGTATTTCACATACATTGTGAACTAGAAGAGAAATATGAGTTCAGTGGACGTCTAAAAATGTTTTAAAACCCAACATTTTTAATCATACATACATACGTACAACCTGATTACTAATTTAACTTTTCTTGAAGACTGAAAGAAGTATTTTTTGTGAGAAACATTTATTATTAAAAAAATATTACAAATATCTGTACTATATATATATTTATTTATTTTTGTCCATCTGAGCTTTTTACCTGTGCATAACTCCATTACAAGCCAGAGGTGGTTGCTTGTTTCATACCATTCATGAAATGTCACTATGTTCTTGTGTCTGATTTCATGAGTCAGACGAACCTAAAACAAAGTTCTTAACATTATTAATGGGAAAAAAATATCTTTATATATATGGATTGGAGGAGAATTGGAGACAACACAGCTTTATGCTGGATCATCTACTCATTCCTGTGCCTAGTCCACTACACTTAATAGTTAAAAATTAATCTCCAATTCAAATTAATTTTACGTGTAAGTTGATAAAAGAAAACTTTCCTCTTAGCCCTTGGCCTACTGAACTTTTTCCAGCAATATGAGAAAGTTTCCCAACCAATGAAACAGAGATATTACTGATTTATAAGCACTGTTTAACTCTTTTGCATCTCTACTAACAGACTGTAAATGAGAATTTGGAGTCAAACTTGGAGATCTACTTTCTTATTCAGTGAGAACACAATTGTGAGAAAATATGGTAAATAAGGAGAAATAAAGAGTTTTCCCCCCTTAGTCTTATCAAGCAGAAGCAATCACTCAGGGTCTCTGAAAGTCTCTATTTCTACCACACCTAGCCTCATATCTACAGAAATCTCTAAATCCTATCAGAGCCATGTGTGAGGTACTTTCTGAGAGGAATATGCTTTGAAGCAGAAAAAGATTTGAGTGGAGAAGATTTATGAGGCACAAAAACAATGAGAGGGAATGTTAAACAAAATGTGTCAACTGGAAAAATGAAATATTTGAAATGTTTAACTGTACCAGTATTCATTTCTTATCCAGAAAGCAAATGTTTAAAACTTTGCCAACCTTTTGCAAACAAAAATTTATCTATTTAAAATACTGTTCTTTCATAAAAAGTAATTTTTTCTTAGTAAGAAGGAAATTATTATTTACTGGAATGCACTACTAGGACTGGATTTACATAACTCAGAAAAATAAAGTCAACCACTACACAAACACTTATTTTTATAAAAGGTACGTTAACATATCATAGAACCAGTAAGCCTGTAAAACTGAGATTATGCATACGATTTAAACAAGAACACTGCCAGGTGATAGAAATAAACATTTCAGCATTCAGCGTTTTTCTTTCTGCAGCAAGGATTTATTTATTTATTTATTTATTTAAGTTTGATCTTTTCCCAAACTTAGCAGGAAAAGTCTTACTTACCCAGTTTGTTATTTCAGCTCTTTTGCATTTATCAGTGCAAAGAATGGCAACAAAATTAATTGTCCCCTTTCTTCTTCCTTTATAAACGATGGTCTTGTTTCCTCTTCCTATCTCTTCATAAAGAATGAAGTTCTCCATACTTAAGGATGCTTTACTGGTAAGGGATTGGAAACATGGTATTTTCTTAGTCAGATAAACCTTTAAAGGAAGAAGGGAGAGAGAGGAAGCAATCAAATTTAAAAATCATTAATGTATCACATTTACTCTCCCAATTCTTAAAAAATAGGAATTATGTTTCATCTTGCTGGAAGGATCTAAGTACTTCAAAGATCACCTTGGGAAATGAGAACAAAATTTTGAATGGGTAACTAGAAAATAGTTGAAAAGCTCTTCACACATTCCACAAGTTACAGGTGAACCAGTAACTACAGATTCTAAATATTTTATCTGTAAATAAAAATCGTGCTACCAAACTAAAAATTTTAAGTTCTACATAAAAATGCTGGATACAGGAAATTATTCTAAACTGAAATCCTTACCAAGTAAAGCTGCCATTTCTGCTTAAGGGCACACCAGGCAGATTTCCTCTGCAACTTTTTACCCTGTAATTTAAGCCTGATAAATAACTGATCTAATCAGCATAACTAGAAAAAGAAAGAAAAAGAATCCCACAGGGATTAGCATTCCTAACAACACTAAGATGCCTGTAGCTTTACCAGTTATAGGAGTTAGCATTAGAAATTTTTTTCACGGATGGAAACAATCCATTTTGACTCCCCAGCTGTGGGAGTCAGAGTTCCACAAGAAAATTTTAGTTTATCTTATAACTACCATTTTTTGTCTCAATAATTTTATTATTGAATTATTATTAAATTGTTATTATTATTATATTTTATATTAAATATTACATTATATATATTATATATTATATATATTATTATATTATACTAATAATATATATTATATTATATTATACTAATATTATATTAATATAATATAATATTATATTATATTAATTATTATTAAATGGTTTAATTTACATAGTGAAACAAGTTAAACCTTTGCCATTTGTTACAAATGTTCCAAAATCAGAATATATTGCTACCTAGTACACAACCAGCACCTTATAGTAAGTTCTTCCAGTTCCAAACCAACTCCACATTCAGTGCCCAGTTCTTCCAACTAACAGCTGAAATATTGCACAGCCATTTGGAGTTGCTTGTTCTCATCTTAACACCAAATTCTTTCATTTGGTTTGTGGACTGTTGTTTTCCTTTCAACAAGACCAGTTCTCAATATAGTTACCTGACAACTACAGAAAAAAAACCAGAGGATAGTACAGCAACGAGGATAGAGAGGGAGGCTGCTTAAACTGTGCTGATTACAAGCCACAAACTCAATTTCACTACCTTTCTTGAGACACAAAGCTCAAACGACAAACTAAATGCCAGATGAGACCAGAGAATTCCCAAATCTTTAGACAGAACATTTTGTGAAACACTCCTGCAACACATACACCTACACCCCAATAAACACACCAACAAATGCCAAACGTAAATTAACCTGATTTTGCCTCACAGTAAGCAAAGAGGCAGGCATAGCCAGCATAACAAGAAGGAACATCTTTTTCCTCCGGTTAACTGTGAAAACAGATGGTCAATTATGCAATGATCAGTTTGCCAAACAAGGCACAAAGACAGGAGCGGATGTGGGTCTACTTTCCTGTCACTGAAGTATCCCTTATGTTCTTCTCGAGAGCTTGAACAAAGACCGGAAAAAGTAACATCTTCCTCTGCTTCAACAGGTGCCAGAGCAGCAGATTGTCACCTCACTGCTCACCCCCGTGACCACTACCTCTAGACAGGCTGTACCTGCAGATAAAGTCTCAACCGGCAGCTCTGCGAGAGGCTACCGGGAAGAGAGCAGCCGTCCCCACCGGCAGGCCTTCAGCCGGGGTACCGAGCGGGGATATGGCACAGCGGGCCGCCGCGATCACACCTGGGCGCTGCGGGCCCGGCGGCAGTGGGAAGACAGGCAGCTACTGCACGACTGCGAGGCGACAACGGCCGTGACCGCAAGAAGGAAGCCGCCATCAACTGAACCCGGTGAGAGCGCCGCACGTGGGGGGACGTAGATGTGTCCCGACGGGGAACCGAGCGCCACGCACCTAAAAGAAAGAGTCAGAAGGAGAAGAATCAGCACAGCACACGGAGTGACTCGGGAAGATGGTTTTTATTTTTCTTATTCGATAAGGGAAGCGCCGCAGAGCGCCACGAAGGCCTGCCGTCTCTCCCCCGCGCAGCACTCCGGTGGTCGCCGCCGTGACCCCGTCTCCAGGAGACAGGGCCGGACGCCGAGGCCGCTATTGGGCCGCAGCGGGTCCACGCGGGGAGTGAAGGAGGCGCCGCCCGGTTGCCAGGCAACCTCCAGGCCCGCCCTAACGGTGGGGGGCTGCGGCGGCTCGAGCCGTTATTCGGCGCGCGCCTCTGGAAGGGCGATCCGCCATTACGGCGTTGAAAGCGCTCCGTTCCAGAGTGGGCGCTGCCGTCACGGGAATCGCCCAGCGGATGGATTCGCTCTTACGACAAAACTTAGCCCTTAAAATGTCCGTTACCTCCTAACATTGTTAAGCCCATAAGTCCATTTCCACGTGGTTTCATAAAAGAAAAGATACAGCGTCGTTGTCAGGAAGGGTTTTGTGTTTGTAGGCTGGATGATGGTGGACTTGGGACTTCATACGGGAAAGGCTTCAGTGTGAATGTAACCTCACCCCTAACACTGCTAAAATAGAAGTCAAAGACCACCCTACTAGGCAGAGATCCTTTAGGATGGCAGCAGAGCTGAGCGCTGTGTGCCAGCTGGGCTTCATCCTTCCAGCAGCAGAGCTGTAGGCGCAAAGGAAAACCTGAAGGAAATCAAGCATCGTTCACAGAATCACACAATCAGAGAGACCTCTGGAGACCTTCAAGTACATCCCACTGCTACAGGAGGTCCCTACAGTGGGCTGTACAGAAAAGCATTTAGTACAGTTCTGAATATCTCCAGAGAAGGAGACTCCACGAGCTCTCTGGGCAGCCTGTTCAGTGCTATGCCTGCCTCATGGTAAAGAAGTTCTTCCTGTGTCCCAGATTGCGCCCACTGCCCCTTGTACTGTCACTGGGCAGTGCTGAAAAGAGTCTGGCCCCATCCACTTGATTCCCACCCATTAGATACTTACAAGCATTGATAAGATTCCTCCTCAGTCTTCTCCAGACTGAACAGTCCCAGGTCTCTCAAGCTTTTTCCTCATAAGGAAGTTGCTCCAGGCCCCAGCTCACCAATACTTTTGTCACTGTTCAGCTTTTCATGGGTTTGGTAGGGAGTCCACAAATTGGTGTGAGGTCAGTGCTGAATACAGACAAGATTTTTGCCATTCTGTTGAAATTACTGAGCTGGCAAGTGCTGAAAAATACTGTGTGCAACAAAATTGCTCATTTCTCAGTAATCTCAGATCCTGTCCCATTTTGCAGCATGATTTCAGCAAGTTGACTACCAACAAAGCCACAGCTTTGAAACTGTCCAGTTCTTTTTTTAATATAAATTAGTAGAAATAAAGTGAATATATAAATAGAAGCCACCTAGTTTCCTTTAGTTGACACAATGAAAGTAAGCTTTGAAGAGGGATTTATTTAGATTTTTGAAAGCTGTATACACTGTCTTTAGCATTGATGAAGGTGACCGATATAGATTAGAAGGAGCAGAACATTAGCTCAAGCACATAACCAGTTCCAACAGCAGTGTGATGCAGTCTTAATTGAATTGCCCCTGCCTAACAGGACATAATAGCAATCAAGTTACTGCCTTTCCTTTAAAAAATCTAATATTTTGTCCTGTACACAACTTTCTGCTAAATTAATCCAGGTTGGAACTGGGTTTTTATGTAAGGGAGATAATTCTGTCATTTTTTGAGAATGAGGAAGTATGAACTTTAACAGTCTTTTGAAATCTTTGTGTAACAGTGGCCATAGCAATACTGAGCACAGAGAAACACAAACAAAATGCTTTAACAACAAGGCAGAGATTCATAAAGACCATTTAATTTGAAAGTCCATAATGAAGAATGTTCAGCACAATTAAAAGCAGACTAAGAGGACTTGTTGATTCATACCTCCCATTTTTCCAGTTCCTCTTAGCTAGAATCTATTTATTTTTATTGTGTGTGTGTGTGTTACTGATAAACACTTCATTACACATTTGTATCTTTCTCATCATCCAGATGCATCATTTCAGAATACTCCAGGTTGGGATTTCTTCTCTTTGTTAAAAGAATCCCTTTGGTTTAAGAATTAGGAGTTATCCCTTCAAAAATGTCGCATGCTTCCTGTATAAGAATTATCTTGAATAATTAACCTATATACAAGTATAAATCAGAGCTGTAATTCTGCAACACTTACCATTGGCCCTTTTCCTACTCTTTTCATCTGTTACTGTTTCCACTGCTGGTTACTGAACATGACTTCAAGCACTGTACTCAGCTGCAGTAAACTTTTCTGTGGGAATATTTTCAGTATTGAGGAATGGAATGCTAAATATTCTCTTTGCCGTTTACAGCATTTTAAAACTCTCTGCAAACTCTATAGCAAACTCAGCTTTGCTACTTACTTGCCTCACTATCATAAGGGATAGTCAGATGAAATCAAATTCTTGTTCTCAAAAAAATATATTGTCTAATTTAAAGTAAACTGAGATCTCGTGATTGGAACTACGTAGTTCAGGAATGCTTAAACACTTCACTGCTATGTCCTCAGTGAGTGCTGTGGAAGCTTCTGACATTCTGCCTGGTTCCTAAAAGTCTGACTAGCAGCCTGTAATACTAAAATATGTTTCCATCTTTTGTTTTCCTTTGGAAAGAAACTGTTCTTTAGTTTGCTTTAATGCCTGTTGAAGACCCTATATACTTCTATTTTGCCACATGTACTAGAATTTCTCCCGGCTATGATGATTATTCATGTTCTATCTCATCTTCTCAGTATGCAGTGTTTCCTACTCTGTTTAGCTACAAACTGAACCTTCTTTCCTCTGAGAGTTTCTATTCTCAGTGTTTTGGGTAATTATGACTCAGTTGCCTGTATATAGTCTTATGTTCCATTTGCCTTGACAGTTCTGTCATTCCTGGGAAGCACACAGGGCCATTCTTCTGGTCTTAGAACATTTTGGCAGGCTGCTGGATGTGAACATGAGCTCATCTTTATCTTGCACTTTTTATTCTCACATCCTTTTCCAACACTCTTGAAACTAGCATGGACTGTCACTGTTTGAAGAATACTTTGTGTGCTTTTCCTATTTCTCCAGTTCTGTGGTAATACTATGTTTCTTGTGTTATGATTTAGTCACCTTGTTTTTCTGGTACAAGGCTGCTCTCAATAAGGAGTCAGCTTTACTCAGTGGTTCTTCTTGAAGTTGTTAAATAAATTCAAATGTTAATGTTCAGTATCGTATGCTGCTGATATTTGGGAGTAGCAATGATTTTTCAAATTATTTGTTTTTGAGATTTTTCTTTTTGGAAATTTGTTTTCCCCATCAGAGAATTTAAACTTTTCACTGTGGAAACATTGCACAGCCCTTGCCAACCTTTTTGTTTTCTTGGTGAGGCAAAAATTACCAGAGGTCTCTTTTATAATAACAGTGCTGCCAGTCTTGCCTCACTGGATCAACCTGTAAGGTCACCAGTTGTGCACGTATAGCATGCTTGTGTTCCCTCTTTCTCCATTATGGTCTCAATGGTTTGTTTATGTCTAAGAGAGATATGACAAGATTATCTACAAAATCCAATACTACCCGAGTTAGTAGCTGTAAGGGTAGGCACGGAACAATCTACTTTCACTTTCTCATAACCACTGTGTTTCCTTGGTTCCCTTCTCCGTTTATGATTCGGAAGTAGAAAACAATCTCCTCTTATTTTTGTTTGCATTGAATTTTATCTACTGATAAAAACAGTGTTGATTCTGATGAATGACCACAGTTTCTAACAGGAAAGTTTCTTTACATCACATTCCTGAATATCATCAGAGGTGATGATGACTTATGAGGCTGGCTGGCAGAGCAGATATTCTGCTGCAAAATTCACTTCTAACACTTCTCAACACCTAAATCTACATGTTGGTATCAGTGTACGCTAAAATGGCTACCTTGCTCATCCAGGAAGGCTGAATAGGCCTCGTCAAAATCTTGCTTTTCCTATGCCTAGCATGCTGCTTATGTAATTTGTAGATTATGTGCAATTGTTAGTGATGCTTTATTTTTCTATTTCAGTGTTAAAGTTATTCCTTATTCTAATGCTAGCGACTGTGTAAAGCAGATGCTGCACTGGGTGAACTACTTTCACCTGTTGTACGTACAGCACAGTGGGATGACATCTCATTTTCTTCAAACACATACAGCAGCTTGGACTTGTGCAGGAGTCAAATGCTTTGTTACTAAGTAAACAGACTGACTGTTTCATCCTGATTAGAATTCACAATGTCTCAAAGGGTATTATCATCATTCTACAAAGTAATTTTCATTTGACTTTGCCTGATTGAACATTTTTTTCCTTTTCTTCCAAGGTGCAAGCCTGGTACATTTATTATTATTCCACTGTCTTGCATCTAATTTCCTCTTTATTTTTCTACTTGTCGTCACTTCTGATGCTAATCAGAGCTTTACCAACTATTTATTCCAACTTGCATTTCATTAATGTTGAATATGTGCAAACCCCCATCGTCTGAGTCATTCTTTGCTTTTTCAGCGTTTTTCTTCATATTGTGAGCTCTAGAATAATGTTTTCTTTTGCTATGTTTACTACATATGATCCTCTACACAAGATATTTTTAGTGAATTTTCTTGTTAAGATCTTCCTTCATTTTACTTGTTTCTTCAGCTTGTGTAGGCCATAGTTTGTGTATAAAATTTCATCAAAGTTAATCTCTCACAATACTTATGTTCTTCAACTTTTATGTGTCTGCTCTACTTAGGTCACAGTTTCACTAACACTAATGCCATAAGCTGGCATTGCTCCTGAAAAATGCAGGAGCAGGAAAGAAAATTCAAAGAAGGAAGCTGGTGAAGAAGGAATAAGCATTAGTGCTGA